TCCATGATGGATCTTCTGGAGGACATTTGGGAATTAGGAGGACTTTGGTGAAGATCAAGGAGAGGTTTTATTGGCTGCATTGCAAATATGACGTCGAAGATTGGTGCCGGAAATGCACTAGTTGTGCAGCTGTCAAGGGTCCACAAACAAGAAGCAGAGGGGCGATGAAAATCTACAATGTTGGTATGCCTTGGGAGAGAATAGCCTTAGACATCGCTGGACCATTTCCAATCACTGATTCGGGCAATCGCTACGTTTTAGTGGTTATGGATTATTTTACAAAATGGCCGGAGGTCTTTGCCATACCGAATCAAGAGGCAGTAACTGTAGCCACGAAGTTGGTAAACGAGGTATTCACCCGATTCGGAGTGCCCTTGGAGATGCACAGTGATCAAGGACGGAACTTTGAATCCCAAGTTTTTCAGGAAACTTGTAAACTTTTGGGAATCCATAAGACTCGAACGACCCCTTATCATCCACAGTCAGATGGAATGGTCGAACGCTTCAACCAAACATTGGAGCGACACTTAGCAAAGGTGGTTGACAGCCATCAGAGAGATTGGGACACTTACATACCTCTCTTCTTGCTTGCCTATCGGACTGCTGTACATGAAAGTACCACAAAGACGCCTGCATTTGCAAATTTTGGAAGGGAATTGAGATTACCGGCAGATCTTATATCGGGCTGTCCACCTGGCGACTCTCGCACCGAGTTTAGCGATTACATAAGCGAGTTAAGGGCAAAAATGTTGGACATTTATGAGCAGATCAGGGAGGCCGGTTTTCAAGCTAGTGATCGCGCAAAGACGCGCTATGATCGACGAGCCAATTCTGTTGGGTTTGAAGAGGGGTCATTGGTCTGGCTTCATAATCCAGTCAGAAGGAAGGGAAAATCTCCGAAGCTGCAACCGAGTTGGGAAGGTCCTTATGAGATAGTCACGAAGATCAATGACATTACTTACAGAATTCGGAAGACTTCAAGGAGCCCTTTGAAAGTTGTCCATATAGACAGGTTGGCGAGGTATTACGGCAGCAACGATGCTCGGGACGAGCGAATCTAAGAGGGGGGCAGTGTGACGGAAAAGTGGTTCAAACTCTTTGACATCATGACGTCAATGGATGGTTGTCAAACGTTGCCTAGAGATTGTAAATTTCGTCGTGAATTGTCAACACGAGTTGGTGTAATCGGTAAGGCGTGTGGATTACACCACAGAGACCCCGAGTTCGAGTCCCGCCGTAAACATGTAGTTTTTTAGTTGATAGAAGTTTTGTGGAACTTTCTGGAATTATTTGTGTGAAAGAAATGAAAAATTAAAGAGCGAGAAGGAGAATAAATAAAAATGAGTAACGAAATTATTGGAAGGTTCTGGAGTCATGACGATCAAAAAGAATAACGAAATTGAATGTTCCAGAACCTGAACCGGGGTATATAAGCGGAACTGCGGCTCACCGCTGGCAGTTGAGTTCTAAGTCTAAAGCGATTCGGAAGAAAAGGAAGAAGTGAGAAAGAAGAAAAGTGAGTGAAATAGTGAAGTGCAGTGAAATAGTGAAGTGCAGTCAGTTAAGTGAGTTAAGTCAGCGTGAACGGCAAAGTTGTGTCAGTCGGCCGGACTCTGCTGGAGAGGAACGCCGATAACTTAATTCCGTGGACGCTGTAACTTAAGTGCAATAGAAAGTCTGAAAACCGGTATTAGTGTTTCATTTCATCCAATCCCGTAACTCAAGCCCGCATAGTCAGGAACGTGACGTCAGGCACGTAACAATATTATTTACTCTTTTCGAACAGTTAATTATTTTTTTAGAACTTAAGTACGCAATAGAATAGAATACTTTTATCTATCGGTTAAGCACATCTCTGAGATCAACCAAGTTCTTAAACTATAATCTAATTAACCAAGTTCTTACTGAATATCAGTAAAAAAACTTAACCTTCTTTTTGTTACAGGTCGTCAAAGCAGATCACCCGATGGCGTGGCCGAAGCCATCGGCGCCATCGATGAACCCTGCTTCACCAGAGAAGCTACGAGAGCGTTTCAGATATTAGTGTTTTTGAGAGTTTGGAATCAGGCGATAGGAAGGATAAGCCTCCTGTAACCCCACTCACACGGCGACCGACGATCTCGTCAATGCCATGGTTGTTTAACGCCGGTTTTCTCTGAGGCCATAGTATCACTGCGGTCTAACCGACCCATTCGTGCTGATGCATAGCTTCCCACATTTGAATTAGGTACAAATAATAGCATAGTAAGAAAGCATAGATAGCATACACAAAATAGTACTTACAATTAAGTATCTTAATACACCACCAATCACAAATCACGAACTTATAATATTATTATCACAGAAACAAAAGAAAAACTGTTTGACATCGAACAATTATCTTATTTAAACGCCAACACAGGTAGACCAGCACGCACCATCGCACTTGCGATTTGTTTAAATAATAAAAAGTGTCCATTATAATACATATTAAATAATTAATCAACTACAATAAGCCGATAAACCTAGGCTTATCTTTTCAATAAAATTATCTGAAATATTTCTACACAAGATAAAGATTTCCATCACTTTGCACCTGACACGAATACAAAAACAATTTCCACATCTTTAAGTCAAGCGGAGGTATAAGGATACGTGTAGCAATCAGCATTTATTCACAGGAGAATCCTGACAAAAGACCTAAAAATTAACATTTCACGTAAAAATTGATCCAGATATTTATTACCTGGTACTGTTGGAGCTCGCTGGCAGAAACTGGAAGAATGTAATTGTAGCAAACCAACTGTTCCCGCAGGTTTCGAAACCCAACTACGGGTCTACATACTTAACAGAAATTGGGCAACAGAACTCATCCAAAATCTTTAAAACTGCAAACTCTAACAGTAACAAGCTCAGAAATTATAACAAACGTTGGAGACCTATAAATAAAGAGTCCAACTGCTGTTAATCCACTTACAGCTGAGAATGTTGCATTTAACCAGGCCTTACAACATTGCCTGCCTCTAATAATGGAGCTTCCGTTCGCTTTCAAATGCTTGAACATAGATTTGGACAAGCCCTCTTAACCTGTCAAAACCGCTGCAACTTCAGCAAGTTAGGATCTTAAGCTCCGGCGCGTCCCAGAGTCATGAATAACTGTCTTGGATAAAATGTTTTTTTCAAAGCTACTGAGCATGCAATTAACGTCCTGGTTGCTCGGATGTTAACACGCACGCTTCTCATACTCGTACATAAAAGTGCGGGCTCGAAACCAGGCAAGTACCAATGTGTGAGTTTATATGTACTTTCTAACACTAGACACCGCTAAAATACGGTGAAGGAAAAACATTTTGAGGCAACACGGACTAATAATTTCTTATTACAAGTTTAAAATCGTCAATCCGCCTTGCGCAAGCGCGGTGATTAATTTTTTTTTTGTGAGGGGAAAATGATCAAATTACTCCCTCGCCCAGGGCCGGGGCGTCGTCTGTGGTGGTCTATTGGCTCTTTGAGGCGCGCGCGAAATGCTATGCGCCGTACGCTCAGTCCGGTTCTGGACGGGCGGCGAGCTACCCTACTCGCAGTCCGCAGCCCAGCCCAGGATAAACCTCCAGTAACCACACGGCGAAACAAAACGAGGTGTTTGTTTCACACCGGTATTCAGTGAGGCCGTGGTAATACTCCTGTCTAGCCGATCCATTTTTGCTTAAGTATGGCTCTGTCACACTATAAACAACGTTAGAGTACATTATTCTTAATCCCTTATAAGTCAATCTCTACGGAGCTAATGGTATTTCATTATTACTATCGACCTGTTGTTATGATGCCTACGATAGCTTATCGTGTACAATTAGTCCTTCATTATCTGTAATCTAATCCTCTACAGTTTTAGGCCATTTTGTGATGATACTGTTTAATATCTAAGGTCAATTTAAAAAATAAACTGTTGTTACATGTGGAAACGATTTTCTCTACAAAACAGGTATTATTAACCATCTTATGTAGAAAGTTCAATATTTAATTTTTGGACCGGTCTGGGTTTTTGGTAAAAATTCATTGGAATTATTCGGTTAAGGAGTAAAAAAAAATGTTGGTTTTGATTGTGTGTGTATTGCAAATGCAATTAATGAGATCGGGTTCTAAATACTTAATATCAATTCTAAGGAAGGACAGATCAATATCATCATCATCATGGGCCCATAAATTCCGTAAAGCCGTGTGAAAAGAGGCCTTTGCTCTGCAGTGGGCCATGAGTTTGAGCATTAATCACCACGGTTGCTCAAGAAAGATTGACGATTTCAAACTTATAATTAGACAGGTTTCCTCACTATGTTTTCCTTCACCGTATGTCAGAATTTTTTTCTTGTCTAAAATTAACTTGTAAAAGCCAAAGGTAATTGAAAAAAAATTGTTTCATTTAAAAATTTTCCTGCCAAAACTTTCGCATACTGTGAAATTTTATCTGATATTTTGCTGGATCATCCACGTTATAAAATGAGGCTAAAAATGTTGCTACGACTAAACAGATAAGTGCTACAATTCGCTAACAAAATAGATAGAAATATCATTATTATCGCCCACATAGTGGGGTTTTTTTCATTAATTATCTGTGGTAATTGGATACCAGATAGTGCACATGCACTAACATAGTCAATGAACATTCTAAATAGCATTTTGATTTGTCCATGAACGAAAATGAAAATGAAAAAAAAATACACATATTTATTACATTTACACTTTTAAAAACTTTTTACTCTCTAAATGGCTTAAGGGATTTTCAGACTTTTACCGCGACCAACTTAATTTTTAACGAGGTCCTGTTTGTTTATCCATTATCCTATAAAAATAATAGCAATCACTTGTAAAGTCAGCAGTAAACAATGTAAGTTTATATAAACTAATAAGGCTACCCGCCAGGGTTAGGGGCAATATTGTATAGCGGCTTGGGCCTTTTCTTGTAAAGGGAAAATCATCAAATGACTTCGCCCAGGGTATGGCGAGAGGGAGAGTCAGACACTTACTCATTAAAAACCTCCCGTTTTACCTGCTGCAGTCGGTACCTTATTGCACTTGTCTCGCGACCCCAGTTAGAGCAGCGGTTAGGGGAAGGGGCGGGATTGGGCCTCCGGTAACCTCACTCACACAGCGAAACACAACGCTGTGGTTGTTTCACGCCGGTATTCTGTGAGGCCGTGGTGTCACTCCGGTCGAGCCGACCCATTCGTGCCGAAGCTTGGCTCTCCCACACTCAGTCTGCTCGTTTGCCGATCTATTACATAAAAAAATCGAAAAGTTTTTAATAAAACTATCATTGGTACCGCTTTACTCTGAGCAACAAGACATTCTATTTGTCAATATAAATGCTTAAATGAATATATTATTTCTATGTACGTAAATCTTAATCAGTTAATTTCACTGACGTTAACATTTATCGTGGGCTTATCATCCAGGTTCTGGCCGGATTTGTTTTCCATGGTTTTAATTAGTAATTATTATTGACTAGCTGTGCCCGCGACTTCGTTCGCGTGGTTGTCGAAAACAAAACAACATCGTTTAGATAACAGTAGGCTATACACATATAAACTCCACTCAAGAAAGATTTTTTTTTTGCTATTTAAGATCCTGACTGTAGTATATGTTTATTTAGTAATATTGGTATAACTACGTTAATGCTTCCCTATATACTATATTAGCTGTGGAATCACCCGGAGCATATACAAAAAGGTTGTTTGGGTTGCTAACACGTGATAGAGAAACATAGAGTCCGCCGATTGAAAAACCATCAAAAGTATGGTCATGGGGTAACAGACCCTTACAGGGAATTGCACATTTATTGCGTTGGAGACTTGTTTCTCTCAGCCGTGTACCATTACAAACTTTTGGAGGACTTAAATTTCTGAGTAGAATGATTGGTGGAGTACCAACTTTTAAATAAATTTTGTGTGCTGGAACACCTGGTGTCATTAGAGAGTCTAAAAACTCTACTCGATAGTGGGTGGCATCTCCTTCTTCCAAACCCGTGTTAATAGATGAATATTCCCTACTTTCTCCAGAAACATGTACCAATATTTGAGAATTGATTGCTGCTGCTTGGTCATTGCGAGGTGCCAAAGTAGCTCGTTGGCATAGCCAAGCAGCGTCATGGTTCGAGATCTCTGATGGATCTCCGTATACAGAAGAAATGAGTTCTTGGTGTGAGGCAACAGAAGAACACAGGCTCTCGACTAAAGTTACTTTACCACCTTTTTGAGTCGTGTATGTACCATTACCAATTTGAAGTAGTAAATTTGAGAAGACCTGCGCGTTTGCGTCACCTTCCAAATATGCTCACATATTAAAGCTCAAATTGGATGATATGACTACGCCATAAAAAGCTCTTTAAACATGCACCTATTTCATCGGCCCTCGTTCCTTTGGGTATTATAGGGAGTGTCTGCCTAAAGTCTCCACAGAATAGCACTATTAAGCCCATCGGACGGTCATTTTGTCTTATATCTCGCAACGTTCTATCTACAGCTTCCATAATTTTATCACTATTGCGAGAGATGTTGCAAACAGGGTTTTCTGTGCGCTCCAAGTCGATTGGTATTTTAAGTGTTTTATTTGCAGTTTTTCCTCCTGGTAATAAAGTGGCTGCAATTCCTGAGGAGGCCACCGCAAGGGCAAATTTGTTTTGGCTCCTTATTTGAGGCAAGATAACTTTGGTGAGGAAAGTTTTACCTGTTCCACCAGTGTGTGTGCATCTAAAAACAATATTTCTCACAAAGAAATTTCTACACTACAGCATACTCTATCAAAGATTTGACGCTGTTGTGACGTCATATTTGAACAGGACTTTAGCCCTATTTCTGCTAACTCCTCAGGGTTATAATTTATTTCCGATGCACACTCCCTATTTATTGGTTCCCCACCAGCTGTCGGCGTTGGCAAGCCGTATTGACTAAGAAGGTTCCCTCCTATACTTATAACTATATCTTGTATAGCTAGCAAAGACTTATTATGGCAGTTTTCCCCTACTTGGTCTGAAGTTTCTCTATTACTATTTTCCTGTCTGAAAAAATCTTCGGCAAACGCGTCTTTATATTTTTGCCACAACTGCCCAGCGTCCGATAGGCCACAATATGTCTATAAAACAAACAAATGACGAAGACGATGTGGACTATCGATGACGCATGCTTCGGCTAAAGCATCATCCCAATGCTGATCGCCATCTAATAAAGGCCGTGCGCGGCAAGCAGCCTAAAATGAGGGATATTCTATATCGTCCACTTTGCGGAGATCAGTAAAAGAAGTAGGCCCTCGCACCATGTGAAGAAGAAGGCGTAAATAATAACACTCTGCACTATTTGGGTGCACCGTGTATACTCTTCCAATCAAGTGTTCTTTAAAAATGCCGGGCTCACCTTCTACAGCAGTTCCACTTCTACAACAGAGACTTGGCAAAATTGTCTCTTTCGCAAAGGCGAAAAATGCGAGCAAGGTGGTTTGTCTCGGGTTATGTCATGTTAAATCGGATCTGCGCTATGGTCTGGAAATTCTGCACTTATGGCACTGTCTATAGCGTCGGGACGAATTTTTTCTTCCAGCCACAAAAGAATGTGCGCATGGGGTAAACCACGCTTTTGCCACTCGACGAACGGTAAAACTCAGAGTTGAACCGAAAACTTTCTCCTTTGTAAGTAGATTAATCAAATCTTTGAGTTTTAAATGCAAAATCCTCGTAATAATGTCATAATTAATCTTATACAGAAAATGACATATTTGCACAACGCCATCTATCGAATAAAGATATCAACTATCAACATTAGTTCTGTTTTTTCTTTTAAGGTGTCGCTGCAAGTACTATACGGAAATGCGTGTTGTTTTACTTCTTGAACTCACTAAATTAATCATATCTTCTGATAGCGTGAACCGATTTCGATGAAACAAAAACTAAGTTATACCTCAAGTTGTGTAGAATTTTTGTATATAAGCATTGTCTGCATTGAATTCGTAGATTTTATGTGATGCGCGCACAAACAAACATATAAACAGACAAACAGACAAACAGACAAACAGACAAAAATGATAAAAATTACGAAAATGGGTTCGGTTAGTTATCCTTTAACACGCTGGCTATTTTTTTTGTCAATTTTTTCAATGTACAAAAATTACTTTTCTACAGATTTATTATATGTATAGATAAAATAATTGATAAATTTGGAAAATGAAAGTGTTAACGTACCTAATTATTCTAATTAGCTATGGAAATCCATGATAGTAAGTTTATCTTGTTGATAATTTTGATAGTGGTGGTGTAATAAAAAGTACAACATTCTTTTTTGTGAGGGAAAAATCACTGAATGACTTCTCCCGCCCGGGGTGGAGCGGGAGGGAGTGTCAGACTCTTACTGACTAAAACGCCCCCGTTCCTTCTCCTGCTCAGGACCGAGGTCGCGGTGCCTCATTGCGTTTACCCCGCAACCCCGACTGAACATCAGTCCTATAGGGCCCCGTCCGTGGTGGAAGTACAACATCCTGCAGATTGGTTTTATTATAATGCACACCAGTTGTGCATCTACGTAATTATTACACAGTTAGAAAGAAATGTTCACTCAGTAGGAAGGGGCTACACAAAAAAAAAAAATCTTTATTCTTAACAGTCGACTTGACTGCACGGTTGGTGAGGTGGCTGGGCAAGTGGCTGACGTGCAACGTGTCGCGGGTTCGATTCCCGCGCGGAACAACTCTTTGTGTGATCCACAAATTGTTGTTCCAGGTCTGGGTGTCATGTGTATGTAAAATTGTATGTTTGTAACCGCACCCACGACACAGGAGCAAATCCTAATGTGGGGCAACGTTTTTTTTAAAAAAAAAGTCTAGGTATAGATAGAAGTAAAATTCTCAGTGAGGACCCATGCCCACGGCCTCTTTCATGAAGTGGCGTCGCCAAGCCTACACATTGGTTAACAAGGGGGTTTTAGTTACACTTTTCCTTTTTTTGGTAGTTGGCATTATAAGAGAATGGTGATTGATGACTCTTAGTTCTTTTTTTAGTATAGGTACCCAGGCTAAACTAAATATTCAATCAAAATAACAAATATATGTAAGTATGTATGTATGTGTATGTACTTATGTAGATTGCCCGACATAGGATTATTTTTAAAACTTGCACTTCATAGACTTACCAGGCATTTTATCAAGTCTATGCTAGTAATTTTAATCAGAAACGAATACTTACCAAATCTGAAAGAAAACAAGTACATCCAGAATCCAGGAAAAAGAAAATCCAAGGACACTTCAAAAAAAAACAAAAATAATTAAAACATCATTCTTTTAGAAATATTTTATTACCTACAAATTGGCACTTTTCTTAGCCTACGTACACTGTCTAAATCAGTTCTAGGTACAAATATGTAAATACAGGCAAATTCATAGACATTACTTAGATATACTCATATATACAGTGCTTTAAAATTAGCTATAATAGTGTGACGGAAAAGTGGTTCAAACTCTTTGACATCATGACGTCAATGGATGGTTGTCAAACGTTGCCTAGAGATTGTAAATTTCGTCGTGAATTGTCAACACGAGTTGGTGTAATCGGTAAGGCGTGTGGATTACACCACAGAGACCCCGAGTTCGAGTCCCGCCGTAAACATGTAGTTTTTTAGTTGATAGAAGTTTTGTGGAACTTTCTGGAACTATTTGTGTGAAAGAAATAAAAAATTAAAGAGCGAGAAGGAGAATAAATAAAAATGAGTAACGAAATTATTGGAAGGTTCTGGAGTCATGACGATCAAAAAGAATAACGAAATTGAATGTTCCAGAACCTGAACCGGGGGTATATAAGCGGAACTGCGGCTCACCGCCGGCAGTTGAGTTCTAAGTCTAAAGCGATTCGGAAGAAAAGGAGGAAGTGAAAAAGAAGAAAAGTGAGTGAAATAGTGAAGTGCAGTGAAATAGTGAAGTGCAGTCAGTTAAGTGAGTTAAGTCAGCGTGAACGGCAAAGTTGTGTCAGTCGGCCGGACTCTGCTGGAGAGGAACGCCGATAACTTAACTCCGTGGACGCTGTAACTTAAGTGCAATAGAAAGTCTGAAATCTGGTATTAGTGTTTCATTTCATCCAATCCCGTAACCCAAGCCCGCATAGT